CACTAAGATACATAATTCTTTGTATCGGTTTTTGATTTCAATGAACGGTGTTTCCTTGTTTAATAAAAATAGAAATTTCTGTGAAATTCTTTCAAAATGCTACTCCTCCTACAGTTTTGGTTCGATATCAATATAATTTGGCAAGAATAAAGCAACACAAGCAGACTGAAAACACTAAAGAAACACAATTCTATATATTGGTTTTTGACTTCAATTAACATTATTGCCTTGCCTGAAAATAGAAATTTCTGTTAAATACTCTCAAAATGCTACTCCAAATACAGTTTTAGTCTGATTAAAATATAATGTGGCTTGCAAGTAGACTACATTAAAAACATAAAGGGACTTTCAAGGATCATTATTCTATTTATTGCTGTTGTAAAGTTTCAATTCCCAACTGCTTAAGAACTTTTCTCATCCTTTGCTATAAGTACATGTACAAACCAGTAGAGCTTCAGTCTCAACAGAGACTTCTGGTTTTGTTGGTCTAGTTTCTCAGCTGTGACAAAAATAAGCTGGAAAATATATATATTGCAGAACCTATTTTTGCTAATTAAACTCTGGGTTACTTAAAAATTAAAAGAAAGAGGGAAAAAAACTTGTGAGTGGTATATTTACATGTTTTATGAAAATATTTTTAGATGATAAAATGTAAATTTTTTGCAGGTTTTGCTGTTGCAAAAGCAAACTTTCAAAGAGCTGCTGGCTATAAGGTATGTACAATACAGATAGTAATATTACTACACTGTATTACTATCTGTTGGAAGATTGGTTGACCAGTGCAATTCTATACATTTCCTTTAAAATGTTTGAAATGAGCTTTCTTCAATAAATACATGTATATTTATTCATGTTCATGAACATTTATATTTATTATAAAACGATTTGTTTTTGCATCACATTAGGCTCGAGATAAAGCAGGACAACAGCTGATGTTTATTGAGAGATATAATGACCATACAAGTGAGTATATTCAGTTAATCGCTATAGCAACTTATATGTATTTTATCGGAGGTGTATGAAATACATGCACATTTAGCTTGAATATTTTGTCATTTTATTTCGATGAATTATGATTTACATAAACTTTTGTTTTTGATTGTTTAAAAAAAGGAATAGATTATTAGATGGTTCTCAAAACTTTTTTTCCCCATACTTTTAAAACTATTTTATCCGAGTTAATTTTGAAATTTTTCATGTGAAATGCATGATTTGCAAATATCACTCCAACATCAAAATGTTTATATTTTGCTTAATTTCTGCAGTCCAGTGGATCAATTTCATTGTGTGCTCTTATGGCACAGTAAGATAAAAAATGAAACAAGTTAGAAATGTCTTTATCTTCAATGAGGAAATTCAAAATTTTAGCTTGCAGTGATTCATTATATATATATTTCAGTTTATCATGACACATATGCACAAGTCCATTGCACAAAGGTGTTTGCCAAAAGGAAATTTGAAGGTAAAATTCATTGTATACTCTGTATAAATATACATGTATTCACTGTACACACATAATTTTGTCTTTTTCAAGGTCTTTAAGGTCGCCTGTCTGTTCACTTCTCTGTTTCATCATTATCGTATTCCTGCACTTCTGACAGGAAAAACAATTACTGTTTGAAATAAGCGATGGATTTTTATAATCCAAATTATGAAATTTAGTACAAGGCATTAAGTACCAAAGTTAGCATTGTTGTGAACAACAGTTCTATATAGGAAATTAAAAATGGAAAAAGTCTCGTTTCCAAAAGCATACTCAAATTTTTCTGTTCATCTGGCAATTAACTTGAAAATTGGTTTCTATTTCAGGCTATGGTGTGATTGCTCATAGAGTGATTAAGGACCTGTGTCTGTTGTCTGGGATTAAGGATATATACGTCAAGACTGAAGGCAACACAAAAAATGCCATCACAATGGCTACAGCTTTCTTCAATGCAGTGACACACCAGGTATGTACCCTTAATGAAATAGGAGTTATGTTGATTGTGATTTTATTGCTTATTTGTATTTGAGATTACATGTATTCATTGAAGATCAACATTTTATTCATTCAAGTAAACCTTTAATTGCTAAATTGCATGATTAATATTTACAAGGGAAATTGGTCTATTTTCATTTTTGCGAAGATATATTATCTGTTTGCAATACATATATTTATTAGTTTGTATCTCTTTCACATGAAGTACATGTACATGTATTTGTATGTTTCTCTTCAATAATAACAAGCAAATATTTATGGTTTTCTGTGGTATACATACATGTTCAAGGTCTTGCAAATGTTTTAACTGATATATCTTCCTTGCCAGGAAACACACCAGGAGCTAGCCAACAGAACCAATATGCATGTAGTAGAACTCAGTGATGAACGAAACCAGGTTCCAGTGGTGTTAGCCTCCCCAGAGGATGGCAAAGTGCAAGAGAAATACTACGGGAGTGAAAGGGACGTGTATGATTTAGATACTCTTTATACCAAAGGCAAACTGCATTGGATCAAGCCTAAAATTAGGCCAGTGTGGGAGAGACTTGGTTTGACTTCATACAGGAGGAAGCTAGACACAGCGGAGAGGCGGCGGGGACAGGACGAAGCCCAGAGGGAGAGGCGGCTGTGTGGCCTTGACCCCTCACGGGAGGAGAGAATCCACCGTGATCAGGCCGGTAAACGAAAGAAGGAGTAAAAAGTGTGTTGTATATATTGTTTTGTTCAATAAATGTGATAATACATGAATGAGTTGTTTAAATTTTCCAGTAATACAGGTACACTGGTTTGAAAACTTGTACTAAGCATATTCATAGAATAGTTCAATCCACACTTTTTAAAAGTTATGTCCCTTGGGCACCATCTTTGGGGAGAAACCCATAGCATCCTCACAGTTGCCTTTGTACTTTTCTGGTTTGTCACTTGAAATGAAAAATCTGTGTATCTTGTATATTAATTGCTGTAGGATGGGACTACCCACACATAGAAAGAAAAATAATTGAACACAAAAAGTGTACATGTAAGAGCTTTCTCCAAGCACATACAGTTTATCAAATGAGGCAAGCAACTGACAAATAAGCTGATGAAACAGGGAAATCAACAGTCTCCTCGAGTGTTGACCTTCATGCAAATTGTAAGGGTATTATTTTTTCACTGCATTATCTAAAATCAGCCAAAACTAAGAGGAGTAACATATTGGAAAAAAATATTTTAAGTGATCATGGATTCTTTGCAAGTTGAATCCAAATCGGATGAAAAGAATTATGTATCTTGGTGTAGTCTACTTGTGTACCAAATCTCTCTGAAATCGCACCAAACTTCATTGTAAACTGAGTACAGTAAAACTCGTTTAGTACGAACACGGATACAGCGAATTCACGGATATCGTGAAGTTTTTCTGGGTCCCTGGCAAAATTCATAGAAAATTTTAGTAAAATTTTACGGTTATAACGAACTCTGATATAACCCGTATAGGTTAAATATAATGAAATTTACATCTTTTGTAACGAACTTTCAAAATTATAAAAAAATTAATAAATAGAACTGATTTTATTTCCTTCAAGAATTTTTATATAAAATCCAATTCATAATAAAACCTTACTTATCGAAGATATTTTTGTAATATAGCTTTCCCTAATATATTTTGTAGTAATACTTGAAGGAAAACATCCATATTGCGAATTCGCTGTAATGGTTACCAGTATACGAATTCGTTATACGGATATAACGAATTACGGATATAGCGAATTAAAGTCACAGGTCCCTAGGACTTTGCTATAACCGAGTTTTACTGTAGCATTTTGCAAATTATGTAGATGGAGAGACGGACTGATGGATGATGGACACATTACCAAATTGAATGGAAAAGCTTTTTTGGTTTCTGACCAGTAGGGCTAGAAATCAACTTGAAGTGAAAAAAAGCTGTGCTCGTAATAAGAAGATAAAAAAAAATATGAATTCAAAATAATACTGAAGTATCGTTTTTCATCAATAGCCTGTAGTGAAAAATGGAGGCAAGTATAATTTTATGAGTTGTTACTGAGTACTGGACTAATTATAACATCAGTTCTGATCATCCCACTTCTCTCTTGCTTTTGGGCAACAAAGCTTTATCAATCAATTTATTTCATACTTCTGTAGATCCTCTAAATTGTTCATGTATTATGCTCAGGTAACCTTGGACCTTTTGTTGCAGTATTTAACTACAAAATGTACCAGTATTCTCTAAAAAAATTATTGAAGATACATAACAAAATCAAAATTCATATAAGCATAAGGTCTTTTTCTGTATCAAGATACCTGTACATGTATTAGATAGTAATACATGTACCGGTACTTGAAGGAAAACGTGCATATTGCGATTTGCCATAACTGAGTTTTACTGTATCCCCATTTGATGTAAATTTTAAGATTGTTTTATAAGTTCTGACACAAGATGGACCCCAATATTGGAATACAGTTCTATTTAAAACTAAATATTACAATACCTCTTCAAAGAAAACAAGGTTATGTCAAATTTATCTGCTACCATAAAGAAGAATGATGAATCCTTGGCTAGTGAAGATGCAATAAGGGCTTTATTTTGTATTCACTGAAAGCAGCAGGTGAGATGAGGGAGCATGATGATTCTGTTACCAACTTAGGTTACTGTTCTACAGTAAAACATGCTTTAACAAGGCGCCAGGGACAGACACTTTTTGATTTGTTATAAACATAAATTGTTATATCCATGTAGTTTTCAATACATTTTAAAACCATGGGAACAAAAAATTACAACACTATTAGCATGTTTGCCATAGCGATGCTTTACTGTAAATTAAAAACTGGTTTATAGGTATTCAGCATGCTAGCGGTTCACGGCAAGATACTTTTGACTTGGAGCTGTGTGCAAGGTATATAAGGAGTGTGGGGACGTTAACCAAGACTCTCACTTGAAGAAGTTTACAGGGGTTTTGTCAAATGACCCTGCATAAAGTTAGAAATATATAATAATAAGGTCAATGAACAACACAAAGATTATAACTTTGCTTTTGATTTTATTAATTTCTATAAAATCACATATATAGATAAATTCATATAAATACATTTTTTGGTAGGAATAAACTTACATCTTGCAGTAAAATCAAAACATGCATTAAATATATAGCAAATAAAGTCCAATTTTTAATGAACACATAATCACAGGAAATGCTGTATAATGCTAATTCACATCACCAATATCATTCATAGAAATTCAAAACTTAACAACAAATTATCATCCTGAGATATGAACACATGATCTCTATAATATAAAATGATTTATCGGTTTTTTAAATTGGCAATGGCATGACTAAAAATGCATAATTTTATATTCTTTAATAGTCTGTTCTAACCATCCTTCAGTAACTTCTCTCCCCCAAACAGTTCAGGGGGAAGGTCCTTCCACTGAGGGTAACTGGTCTGTGTCCCCGGGGACTGGACGGTAATTCCCGCGATCTTATTAGCCCTGTACACTGACTCCTGTAATCCTAACTCTGGTCTGGTGGCCAGGAACACTGCTAAAGACCCACAAAAGGCATCTCCAGCTCCCTGCAAAAAGTATTACAGATTTAATCTTCAAAATATTGTTCCAGTGATCTGGCTTTATGATTTTATGATTGCTGTAAAAATGGTTGATTGTGTCACAATTCAAGTTTACATACATTGCTTACTTATATAAGTTGTCTTACACAGTGTTATATTATCATGTCCAGCTTTCATTATCATTATATGTCTCATGTGCAAATATTTATACTTGCTGTTAAAAATTCAATTTCCTGGTACATGTATCAACATATCTGATAACCCTAATGTTAATATTTTCCTCAAGAGCTGACAATCAGTTTGTTATCTTTCAATGTTTCTCTTTTAAACTTAAAAAAATCTTGGCCATTAACTTCACACTTGGACTTCCAAGACCCAGAAATGAGTTTAGTGAAGCTGAGTTTTGATCTTACAGTGGTGTCCACTGCCTGGACTTTTGGAGTGGGAACATGAACAGCCTCCTTGTCTCCCTTGCTCATCACAACAGCACCGTTTTCTCCCAGGGTCACAATAACCACTTGACAACCTTTCTCCAGGACAGACTCAGCAGCAGTTTTGGCCTCTTCAACTCCAGGTACTTTCATGCCTGTGATTATTTCTGCCTGTAGAAATATTAAAAGTTTTATTGAAAAGGATTTATTAGATGAAGCATGTTAATATTTTTGATCCTGGTAACTAAGCAGCACCTATTTTAAAATTTTACAAGTTTTCATTATCATGTTCCTTTTTTTTTACTTTAAATGTGTGTTAATGTATTGGTTATGATATTCATTTCAATATTTAAATAAATCTTCAGTTACATACACAGTACATGTACACAGTATATTTATGATATCATAGGTAGGTGCAATAGACTATAGTCATATCAAAATGTAATTGAGAAAAGTTTTTTGGGGGGTGGAGGATAAATCTATTCAGTTTTACATGTATATACCATTTCAGGGAGGGTTTGGTTGTGCTACTTTACCTCTGACTCATTGATAACTAGAATATCACAGTACTGGAAGTACTCATCCAGACCTGTTGTTGCTGGTGCCATGTTGAATAAACTTCTTACTGAAATTATTCAAATCAGAATGTGTAAAATGTGATAGTATAACATACTAGACTTTTTGAATTGTTAAGAAAAAAGTATAAGATCTTGACTGTATAATTCCTCAAGGAGAAATTGATTTTTTGAAAAATTGATTCAGTCTGTATCATAATTATGCATTTTCTAACAGGAGAAAAATGTGCTCAAGGGAGAAAACTCAGAAAATTAATTTTCTTACTGTTAAATGATTTTGCCATTTTAAGAGCTTCTAAGGTCACCTTGGGATCAATTTCCAGATTGCACAAAAGGATTTTAGAATTTTGAATTAAATCTTTAGCTTCCATTAAGTTTTCCACTGTTAAGGATTCATTGGCTCCCTTCACAACCACAATTGAATTTTCACCTACAAGACAATATATTAATATATCTTATGCTCGTAAATACACATCAAGTAACTTTCTTTAACTTTCAATTTTACTTGATTATTCTTTACATTGTTTTTGATTCCATGCAAGTGAACAAGTGGGTATTACTGATGATATATGAATTACTGATGAAAATGTGGAATAGTAGCTCAACAATAGCTTACCACTTTCATTGACAAAGATAGGAGCCACACCAGTGGCTGCCTTTGATGTGGCACCAACATGGCTGATATCAATGTTGTTTTTTATGAGATCTAACTTGTACTCTCTCCCAAAGGAATCTTCTCCGACCTAAAATTCAAACTAGAAATTCATTAAAGGGACATAGACACAGATTTGAAGGAAAATATTTTCTCAATGTTTCTGTATAATGTAAAGAATTATAGGTTGCTATAGCATTTCACATGGAAATATAACAATAAAAACACATCACTGAGCAAGGACTGACAATACTGGTGAGTTGGTTTTGCTTTCTTGCATGTAAAAGTAGCCTACCATGCTGATGAGAGCAGTTTTAGCACCAAGTCTGGCAGCCATCACAGCTGGGTTGGCACCTTTACCACCAAAGCCCTGGGAGAATTTGCTTCCAAGAATTGTCTCCCCTGCAGCTGGGAGTCTTGGAACATAGCTGTTTATAAGAAATAGTAAGACCAACAACTATATGATATCAGTTAAAAAGATGTTGAGAATAATGTAAAATGAATCATCAATGTTCATGGATTTTGTGGGTCACCCTTATAACCAAATTTACATCCCCATGAAGGTGTGGAGCTGTTTGTACATTTATACATATTTAGAGTTTTTTCTTGACTTGGAAGAAAAATCTGAGAGATTTTCCAATTGATTGCACTTGGAAATAAGATCTTGACTTGAGATGTAAAATAACTTCAAAACCAAAATTGAAATGCTGTCAAATTTACCACAAAACTCCCATGTGGCATGATGTGCTTTGAATCAGCAACACAGTTTCTGAAAAGGCTTTCATTATTCATAAAAAATTCACAATTCATTCAGGTCAATATTGAATAATGAAATCTTCAGTGTCTAATATATATACATGTACCTGTACATGTAAATTTAATCAAAGAATTTAATATATGTATAATTCAAATTTGGCCATGGCGCATATGAGTAAAAGTTTTTTTTAAATAAGATAATTCTCAAAAACACAAATACTTATATAAATGTTTATTCATTATTTAATTATGGTAAATGCCCTGTATGCCGTTATTTGCTATGACCAGATTTTTTGCTTTCCAAATCTGGTTATGACCAGATTATCACATGTTGGGGTGGCACGCATGCAGTTCTTTTGTCAACATATTAATTCATTGAACCTAACTTCTGTATCTATGAATAACCCACAAAATGATGTTCTCACAACCAAAAAAATTTTGCTTACCCACAAACATTGACCCAGCCCCCCCCCCCCCCCCCAATTAATTCATGATTAAACACATGCATGTACAGTATTAAATTAGATCTGACGCAAATTTATGGAACGCCATCACTGCCTTATAGCATGCAACTATGCATTTATTATGTCAATTTATCATAACGTGATGTGAACGTATCTTTACATTATGTCAATTTTTTATGAGATGATGAAAAATATCTTAACATCATGCCAATGCTGCATTACATCAAGTAAATACATCCTTTCATTATGCCAGCACTTCATTACTTGAAGTAAAAAATTAATTATGTGAAGTGATAATGTGTTTACATTGAGTTAAAACTTTATTATGTGAAATGAATGTTTCTTTACATCATTTCATTTCTTTAATATGTGAGGTCAAAATTGCATTACGTCAAGTAAATTGTGTTTTGTAATTAAACTTATCATTACATGAAGTCAAAAATCCATTCCTTTTTGAGAGTGTATATTTCTATTATATCAAAGCATTATTACGTGATATGGACTTATCTTTATTTTACGGCGAGAGCATCATGATGTGAGGTGAACACATCTTACCTTCATGTCAGTGCTTTATTACGTGGTGTAAAAAGTGTATAACATAATGTGAACCTATGTTTAGATTATATCAACACTTTATTACATTATGTCAAAACTCCACACCGTGATGTGGATATATTATAACGTTATGTCAACTCTTTCTTATGTGATCTAATAATATCTGTATATTGGTTTAAATCTTTATCATGTTGATTCCAAAAGTGCATTACCTGATGTAAAAATACATTTACATTATCTCAAAGCTGTATATCTAGCTTATAATGAATGTTTTACAGATTGTTAAGAGGGGGGGGGGGGGGGGGTCCGGATTGATTAGGAAGTATAACAGCCCCCCCCCCTTTTCCCAGACATAACTTTACTAGAGAAAAAGTAATGTTCATTGAAAGTACAGCCCTACCCTCACTTTTTGTTGAAGTATAGTCCACTCAGGGCAATGTGGTATACAGTATCTGAAAGAAAAAAATTAGGACTGATCGAAGTTTGACCCCTCACCCCTCCCCGAAATAGGATTTTCGGGCTTGGACAATTTTTTGGGGCTTGTCAATTTTTTTCAGGCAAATTAATTTTTTTTTTCTGGCTGACCTCCCCTTTCAAAAAAGATGCTTTGTCACTGGAATTAGAAATTTTTTCAACTATGCTACGTCACTGGAGTTAGTAATTTTTTAAAATCATTCTAGGGCCAGAATTCTATTACAAAAATCTACCAGTTCTTCATCTAAATCAATTGAATATGCCTTAGTAAGCATGCATGGGTACATATCAGTGGCGGATATGGGAATCTTGAACAAGGAAGGGGGACGGTATGTGGTTGGCATAGGCGTCGGAACCGGGGGGGGCTTAGCCCCCACCCCCACTTTTTTTCCTCAGACTTAGTATAGACATTGAACATCGCTGCGACTATTTGTTTTCAGATTAAAGTAAACGCCATTGAATTTCGACGTGACTTTAATGCACAGTCGTAGTGTTAAGGCTTTGCACGTTTCAAGGTTGTCAATCATTTGTCGCTTAAAGTTTTTATTAAAGATGCCACTCCAAATTCGCTGAGAATTTCTTCTACGACAGTTTTCTCTCCCGCCAATTTTAGTTCTTTTCGGAACGCGGAAAATACGTTATGCTCATATAAAGGCCGAGGATACACGTGTTCGCATAACGTAATAGTGAATCGACATAATGTAGAAGAGTGCGCACAGTATGACATGAGCTTCTCACATAATATCATAAAGAATTGACGTAATGTAATAAAAGGTTGACACAATGTAATTGTTGTTTAATTACATGTCATTAACAGTAAACATAACGAAATGCAAGTTGACAAAATATAACTGTAGTATGTATTAATGTCATAAAGAGTTGACGTAATGTAAAGGAAAGTTGACACGATGCAAGGGTAGTGTGGGTTAATGTCATAAATAGTTGACATAATGTAATGGAAGGCTGACATAATGCAATAGTAGTGTGGGTTAATGTTATAAAGAGTTGATATAATGTAAAGGAAGGTTAACACAATGCAATAGTAGTGTGGGTTAATGTCATAAAGAGCTGACGTAATATAATGGAAGGTTGACATAATGCAATAGTAGTGTGGGTTAATATCATAAAGAGTTGACATAATGTAATGGAAGGCTGACATAATGCAATAGTAGTGTGGGTTAATGTCATAAAGAGTTGATATAATGTAAAGGAAGGTTGACACAATGCAATAGTAGTGTGGGTTAATGTCATAAAGAGCTGACATAATATAATGGAAGATTGACATAATGCAATAGTAGTGTGGGTTAATATCATAAAGAGTTGACATAATGTAATGAAAGGTTTACACAATGCAATAGTAGTGTGAGTAAATGTCATAAAGTGTTGACATAATGTAGTGGAAGGTTGACGCAATGCAATGTTGTATTCTGCTATAAGGCAGTGACGGCGTTCCATACACATTACAGATTTGGCAAAAGATAAGAGCTTCACTGGCAGAGACAACTGACAATGATAAGTGCAGAAAGGGGTAAAATATTGGTAGAATTAGAAAAGTGCATGTTAAGGACCAGGGATGAGGATGCTGGTACTCTGGTACAAGCTAGGGGGCGAGTATTCATCATTACTGTTTGCAATTCAGCGAACATCTTTCCTTAATTTAATAAGATGTTTTACAAAAATTCATTACTACATATTTAAGCACTTATATGATGGGTACTAACTACTTGCCTCACAAGATCTATATTGCAGCTACCTACAACTACCACGTCCATCGTGTATTACTAGTGAAAGTGAAAGTAATAAAATTAGGGAGTATCTCTAAATTCGTTAAATTTAGTCTTAAGTTCGTAATGATTTATTCCTATAAATTCTATACTTAAAGGTTGAAACAGTTAACCAGTTTAAAAATCATGTAATTGACATAGTAAATTAGTAATAAATAAATATTTTAGCCAGAGGCATAAATATCAATTATATCGTATTTTGAGACTTTCCCTAAATAAAAGTAATAGCGGAAGTAGCTCTCACAGATTTGCAGAAACTATCGATCGGTGCAGCAAAGAGGCAGTCAGTCCTCTCAAACACAATGTCTTTTGATAAATTTAAACCAAAGTATAAAATACATGCAGAAACGGAGAATTATTTCAAATTAAGAGCCGAGGCCGGAGCAAAACCTTATGATCAACTAACGGTAGAGGAAGCGAGGGAGGGTAATATTGCGAACGCTAAAAGGTTTGCTGGCACGACGGAATTTGAAGGCACCGTGAAAGAATTCACAGTTCCATCAAAACAGTGCAGCGATGGTAAGTTCTCAGCAATTTCTGATTGTCTTAAAAGTGGAATGTCAGTAAATAAATGCTTTATTTATAAAATTTTAATTTTAAAAATCATGCATGTTTTGTTTTCTTTTTGATAAACATTTATTTTGCCTGTTTTCTTTATGATTAATGTTTTTATTTATAAGTAGGCGTGTCCATTTATTAGGTATTGGTAGTATGGTTACACCTGATAGTTTAAGGCTACAATATATTGTTTGTCTCCTTCTTGCAAATGTTAAGTCTTAGATGGGTGAATGATGCATCATTTACTTCCATGTGTATGTACCTGATAAAAGGGTTTTTCATCTTTTGAGATTCAGTAATGAGCATCCTTTCCTCATTTTAGTAGAATAATGATAAAGTTATCCAGTTTGATTTCTTGATATAAAACATGTTTTATGGTTATGAATAATTGGTATTCTTTGATTTTTGTCTTCTGTTTTCCTTAATGATAATTACGGAACCCCCCATAGAATTTTTTAGATGGAAAATCATAACACTTTGAATTACCTTCTTGAAAATATTTTTTTTTATCACAAAGTAAACATCTTTCAAATGTATTTTCAGGAATTCCAATCACAGTATACAGATCTAAGCAGTGTGACTTGTGTGTTGCTCCCTCTGTCTTTGTATACTTCCATGGAGGGGGAAATGTGGTGGGATGTAGACAAACTGTGGACATTATCTGCAGAATCTTCTCCAGGTAGGAATGCAAGCAAATCTTTGGTTATTATTTAAGAAAATTCACTTTCTCAATAGATGATTTGAAACTACTTTTCCTCCTATTGTCACCATCTGATGAATGAGCAGTTAATGGAACCTTCACTCATCTTTCAATTGAATAATCAAATAATTTAAAAGATTATCAAGTGAAAGAAACAAGTTGATCTATAAAGTTGCAATGTACTGAATAAGTAAGCAAGCAACCCTAAGTTGTTTGATTTTTCTTTTCATTTTAATGAGAATTTTCAACAAATTTAAAGTAGTACGGGGTATTTTAAAAATGAGAGACAATTCAGGATATATCAGTACAGTTAAACTTAATTATCTTGAACACTTTATCTGGAATACCTGGATATGTCAAAGTGATTTTGAAGTCCCAAACACTTATTCTTTAATTTTTTAACCTTCATAACTTAAATACATGTACTACTCAAATATATCATGTTTTTTGTCTGTCACATCAAGTTCAACGTTTTAATTACTGTATTTTGCAATTTTGAGTGAGATCAAGATTTGACAACAACAGAAAATATATATCATACAGTGATTTAAAGCTTCAGTTAGTAGTCAACCTTATATAGTGTTCAATTTTTTTAAACAAGAATTTCATGAATAGTTCCATTTCCATACATGCATTTGATACGAAATTTTCAAGAATAGTTTTGACCTATAAAATGATATTTCAGTTCGTAGAAGCTTTTAATAGTTGACCGAAAGAATTAAGATAATCTTTACATTGATAAAAATAAATGAAATTTTCCAAACTTTAAATGCATAAACATGAAATATTCAGCATTTGTCACATTGTTTGACAGGTCAGTGTGATGAGAAGTTTACATGTAAGCACAACCAAATGAAAGGTCAAACCAACAATGAAACTACCAATTTATTTCCAGATTCATTGATAGTTTTTCTGTGCTATCTTATGTAAACCCATGCCATTACCAAAGAATATGTCTTTTAAATTAGTATTTCCATTGAGCTTAATCATATTAATCCTACAGATTCAAAGCATTCAAAAGTGCCCAAAACAAAAAATTAAAAATAACAATTATTATAATTTTGCATTTTAAAAAATTAATTTTGAGTGAGAGAATATTAAAAATTTCATTTTATTATGTTTATAATACAAATGCATAAACAAGGTGTCTGAAACCTCCACAATTCATCAACCCATTTTGTGTTCCTAAAATCTAATAAAATGCTTCAATTTATTACATTTCTTTATCTTTCATTTTTTTTTACTATCATAAAACATTGAAAGGTATTCACATTTTATTTTGTTTATGTGTGTAGCATCAATGTTTATCCTGTTTAAATCTTTGCATTGATGATGATTGAAAGATAAGAAAACTCAGTGTTTACTGAAATAGAGATATCTCTCCTGAGTAACCTGTACAGCTTTTATGTTACTCAGCTCTTGTCTGAGGAATTTGTTCATTATAGTTCTCCGACTGCCAAACATCCATATAACAAATGTCTGTAATGTTTGATTGCTTCTGACATGACGTTAATGTTTTTATTTGTAAACATCCATATCCATTGCAGAGTTTGATATACGGCAGAGTTATTGACATGGTTTACATTTTTCATAATAAAAAACCAACAACATTGGTTATCATCTCGTGAATCAGCCAGCAACCATTGGGTTCACTGACATTTGTTTACAGCATGTGTGTGTTCAATGCTACAAATGTGAAGGGTTTTATTATTATTATTTTTTTTTTTTGGGGGGGGGGGTCTCAACTTTAATCTCAGCACCTTAGGCTGTTATCAGGACAGGGTTTAGTCACCAAGAGCGAAAGCTATTCAATTAATTATTTAATAAATCAAAGTACATGATTTTTATTTCGCCCCTAGCTGATTTTATTATTCAGTGACCATCTCAAGTTAGTCTGTAACTTTTGGGTTAAATTTAACATCTTGGCAAATTTCACTTCAGGATTTTATTCCAAGTTGTGTTAAGTTTTGCATAATAATTTGGAAGGGGGAGAGAAAAATGAATTTAGTCAAGATTTATTTATATTATATTCACTATTATAAAGGAGGCTGATATTAATTAAATGAATAAAAGACAATGTGTATACCTCTAGTATACCAGAGGTAGGATCAAGTGTCATGGAGGGATTGAACATCCCCTGCCATATGCTCTTTGTCATGGATGTGGTTAATAAAATATTAATTAATTTGCCAATTATTATTAGGTTATTTGAGTCACTCAGATGACCTTTTGCTATCTTCTTTTTTGTCCATTGTTGCTTGAGCATTGTGAAACACTGTATGCATGTTCGTATGACTTCTTTTTTTTTAAGTCAGTCAAAAGAAGTATAGTAATTAAAACTTTGTAGATTAAACATAACAGGATGTATGCCTTAAGGATCATTCAATAACAAACAGTGATTAAAGACCTAAATACAATGTTTTATTGTTTGCCAGCCTGCTTTATTAGACAGGGAATTTATGTTGCTTTTATAAGTTATTTCATCTTTCTATGAACATCATAGAATTCATAGCACTTTAGAAATCAGGTCAGCTAGGCCATACATTTTGAAGTATTTTCATGTAATATATATTGGAATGCCCTTTTATTTTATTGATGGTCAGTTTATCTCTCTTTTATTATTTTGTAGAGATGCCCCTTGTGTGGTGGTCAATGTAGAATATCGTCTTGCTCCGGAACATAAATGGCCAGCCAACCACGAAGATGCCATTTGTGTTGTCCGCTGGGTGAAAATGAACAAAGGTCTTTTAGGTAATCTAAAAATTTTCAAACTAAATTAAAAGAAATTGAGTTTATATTTAGATATCTATATTTTTTAACTGATTCAAAAAATTAACCAGAGCTGCTGTCACTATACAGGATAAAGATTTCTGACTAAAATGCAATACATTAATTGTACAGGAAGCCAGCCCTTCTGCGGTAGATGATAGCTGTCTTGAAACTTATAATTACATACAATGTTTTACTCAATACATGTTGAAGCTAAAATGAGGAAGGGTATACACTGTACATATTTATTAGGATGATGCACCTGTGTGAAATGTGAAATCAGTATAAATGACTCGCATATTTGTCTACTCTTTAGATAGATCCAATTTTCTATTCACAGGCAGGTTTAAAATATTTTGTCATTACGCTGTATACCTGAAGGGATGTCCTACATATAATTTAAATCGTCTATGGATGTGCATTAATTATTTACAGTTTATATATATATCAGATAAATTTTGAAGGGACTCTGGTATTTTAATGAACTTGTACATGATAAATGTAAAATGATACTGTTGTGCATACACTTTTATCTTATAGTCATGTACTTCCATGATTTTTTGCATCTCAAATCCCAGTATACAAAAAACAGTCTTTCAGACTAAGTTCTTTCTGAAAGTAGTTCATTTTCCCCAATCTTTCTTCTTGATGGGATCCTTGCCAAAAGTAAGCTGGTATATTGACATGGCAGCAAAGTCAAATTCTATGAGGATTTAGCATTACAAAAAGTGCAGCCACTTGGGAAGAACTCCATTATTATTTGTGATGATCAGCTGCTGGATGTCAATATTGTAATGATTTACTGGGTACATGTAATACACATTTGGAAACAATATAAATGCCAACTCAGATAGTTCTTCAAAGAATGGAAATAAATACTTGGTTGCAATGACCAAAATCAGAGAAAGTCTCAGTCTGTAGACTTCTAAAATTCTGTCATACTAAATGTACTTAGTTGTAAAAAAAAAAAAAAAATGCACACACACACACACACACACACCCACACACACACACACAAAATGGTTTTTCAATTTTCCCAGGCCTATGATTAAATGGCTTACTTGTCACAATTGGCATGCTTTATTAATGTTTATTTCTTAACAATGAGCAGAATGTTTGAATTGTATAGTGATGTGAAGAAAAAATAGACCCTATTTTCTTAGAGTCATGACTCTAAAATCTATCTGTAGGTAGATTAATGCCAACAAATTCTAATTTATTTTACCTATTAGTTAGTGGCTTTATTTAAAACTTTAATTTATTGTACATAATAATTTAGGATTATTGTATCAAGTTCTGAAATGGGATTATATGCACTGCTTCATTATAAGCAACCGTTCACAATAACTAGTCAGGGTGTAAACAAGTTTGACTATACATGTACTAACAAAGTGCTTTAACAGGTGCCAGTAGTGAAAGCAATATTGGAGTAGGAGGGAACAGTGCTGGTGGTCAGACAGCAGCCATGGTGTGCCACTATGTAGAAGGCATAGAATACCAGGTATTCTCTGATTGGTCAATATTATTTTATAAATAGGTGCAGTAAATGAGAGCACAGTGGGGGTGGGAGGAGACAGTGCCGGGGGACGGATGGCAGCCATGGTTTGTCACGAATTACATGAAATAGATTACCAGGTAATAACAAGGTGGATCTAATTTTCTGTTTTAGGTGCGGTGAACCGCAGCACGGTAGGGGTAGGTGGGGATGGAGAGGGCAGCCGCATGGCGGCTCTTGTTTGTCATGAGGTCCCAGATTTGGGGTACCAGGTAACATGCATCTTTCATGCAAGTGCTGCATGACTGCATGTTGTGTCTGCTCTTCAGTTTCAAATTTTTATTTTGATTTGCCTTTATTTGATTTATCAAAAACAATCGAATTCGTCTCCTCAATGAAATTAGGGGCTAGGGTAATACCTTCAACCTCGACTTTTTTGGATGAGTATCCAAGTTAAAGTTTTGGACAAGTTTCATTTCAGTAAAACATTAAGCCCTATCTCTATCAATCTTGCATTCCTTCAATCCAAATAAGAGCTACCAAGCTTACTTTGGATTCTGGTTATAAAAATCTCTTCCTCCTCTTTGAAGTTCGCTTATATTTGACATTTGCACGAAGTGCGGTGGACCAAATTATCTTGCAAACCTAAATTGCAGTGCAGCATAAATAGACGACATTTTATATGATCTCAATTTTGAGGCCAGAAGGGGCTGAAGGGCTATTAACAACAATTATAAGGAATGTTTTGTTGTGGAAACAGTGAAAGAATATATTTTAGAACATATTAGTAATATTTTGATGTGACAGTTAAAAAACATGGAAAAATAAATCGAGAACCAGCGCACACACTTTTTTGTGTGCAGTAAATATATACAGTTTTTTTTCAATGGGTGACACTGTAGCTCTCCGGTCTATCAAAATATTTTATTCGGAAAGCAAAAGTTCTGCAGGTAATTTCAAAGCAGTCCCATGATCTTTGCTATTCAAATGCAATTGAAATTATTTTTAATGTTTCGTGTTGTATCTGTAACAAATTAGTTCTAGCTGACTTAAATCTGAAAGCATGAAAATGTTCCTCTACTTCCTGTGAGATCTTTCAGATTAGGTACCATGTTCAACTCCCATGAGTACTTTCAGTACTTTTATGATGGTTTAGTGACTAGATACAGTTTTTGAAGAGGTTTTTTTAAAAATTGAATTAAGATTGGCATCTGTAGTACCTATTTATCAGGCAAAACTGTTTTTAAGAACTCTACAGATTTTTGCATGAAAGTTACATTTTGAAGGGGGGGATATACTAAAGTACATTTCATTCACAAACTATTTCTTATATGCAATAGTCTTGAATTTTGCTTCATGAGAATTTATTCTGCCTTTTTAATGTGGTTTTTGGTTTTATTTAAGATGCACCATTTTAATGTCATTTTATATTACATTTTTGCTTTTTTTCCTCTTTAATATGGTTTTAGCTCTACTGGTCAGAGACCAGAAGAGCTTATGCGATAGTAATGCGCCCGGCGTTCGTCCATCTGTCTGTCTGTCTCTCCGTCTGTCTGTAAACAATTTTTCAAAACGCTACTCCTCCTACAATTTTAGTCTGATTTCAATATTACTTGGCACACAAGTGGACTACACTAAGATACATAGAATGGTGCATCGGTTTTTGATTTTGATGAACGATGTTGCCATGGTTACTAAAAATAGAATTTTCTGTGAAATTCCTTAAAAATGCTACTCCTTCTACAGTTTTGGTCTGATTTCAATATAACTTGGCACACAAGTAGACTACACTAAGATACATAGAATAGTGCATTGGTTTCTAATTTCGATGAACGGTGTTGCCATGGTTGCTAAAAATAGAATTTTCTGTGAAATTCCTTAAAAACGCTACTCCTTCTACAGTTTTGGTCTGATTTCAATATATCTTTTCACACAAGTAGACTACACTAAGATACATAGAATAGTGCATCGGTTTTCTATTTCGATGAACGATATTGCCATGGTTACTAAAAATAGAATTTTCTGTGAAATTCCTTAAAAACGCTACTCCTTCTACAGTTTTGGTCTGATTTCAATATAACTTGGCACACAAGTAGACTACACTAAGATACATAGAATAGTGCATTGGTTTCTAATTTCGATGAACAGTGTTGCCATGGTTGCTAAAAATAGAATTTTCTGTGAAATTCCTTAAAAACGCTACTCCTTCTACAGTTTTGGTCTGATTTCAATATATCTTGGCACACAAGTAGACTACACTAAGATACATAGAATAGTGCATCGGTTTTCTTTTTCGATGAACGGTGTTACCATGGTTACAAAAAATAGAATTTTCTGTGAAATTCCTTTAAAACGCTACTCCTTCTACAGTTTTAGTTTGATTTCAAAATAAGTTGGCACACAAGTAGACTACACAAAGATACATAAAATAGTGCAATGGTTTTTTATAAGTACAAACCAGTAGAGCTACTGTCTCGACAGAGACTTCTGGTTAATTTTATTGAATAGATGTGTTTCAAAATATCTGTAGTATGGTGTGTAAAATCACAAGATACATATATCATAATTTTTTGTTCAAGATAAACAACTCTACAGCAAAAAGTAAAACTAAATTCTAAAAACTATAAATTGTACAACTGCAAATTTTAAAACTTCACCTTAATTTGGAATCTTTTACTTTGGTCAATTATTCCTTCCTATAATCCAGGTGCTTGTGTACCCAAGTGTAGACCTAAGAAGAAATTACAAGTCAGCTGAGGAGTTTGCAGAAATGCCTGGACTCACGAAAAAGATGGTTGACTGGTAATGACCCAATTGTAACAAAGGAATTTATCCCTGAAATTCATTTTCCTTTGATTATATTGTTCCTTTTTTTTTTTTTCATTGATTATTTTATCATCTAAAGAAAGCTAAATTAGTTTGAGAAGTTTGAAACTGGTCTATGTAGTGTATTCCGAAATATTGCCAAAAATGATTGAAATTTAAAGCTTCTTTCAGTAAATTACTTTGCTTAAAATTTTGTCTAACCTGAAATGTCTAGTCAAGCAAACTTCTGTGAAACCGTTGGTGTCAAGGTTGGACAAGTTTCAATGTAATTCAATTTGTTAATTTGTAGATTCCTTTTTTTTCACAAGAATTTTTTATCGGACGTCAAAAGTTTGGATGGTTGATGTAATGCAATTTAAAAAAGGTGCTTCTTTAAATATACCTGGTAACAGAATAACTAATTCCAGGAGTCTACAGTATATGTATCTCTTCAGCATCTTTCTTTACCTGGGTTTTAATCGAGTTCCAGGCTAAATGTTTTCAATATTTATGTACTTAAAGTAGTATGTATTCGGAAAGGCTTCTATTTTAGGTTTAATGAGAAATACATAGATGAAAAAGATATAACAAATCCTAAAGCTTCAGCAATACTTCAGAAATCCTTCAGGGGCCTCCCTCCTGCATTAATAATCTTAGCAGAACTGGACCAGAATCGTGATCAAGGTTACGGTAAGAGGCCTGCCATGGGGAAATGTTTATAACCAATCATCTGTATGTTCTAGGTTCATGGACCAGTACATAGATCGTTCAGAAATGGGCAATGCTAGGGCTTCACCTCTGCTTCAAACTAACTTTAACACTCTACCACCAGCCTTAGTTATCATAGCTGAACTTGATGCACTGAGGGATGAGGGTATTGGTAAGCATGCACTAATACATGAACATTGTCAAAACGATCACTCAGAGTTAAGTCAGTATATTCAAGATGATCTCTTTTGGAAGTTATGAAAAATAAATGTTTTATGAAAAATATGTAACAATTTTTATTTACAGTGTATAATCTGAGTGATCTTTTTGCTGTCTATTCTTTTTAACAACTTGGTGTTTATGCACTCACTTCACTGTCATCTGCTAAATAATGAAATAAGCTCTTTTTACTTGCTGAACATATTTTATCATTGTAACCAATGATCTTTAATATATCTTTCTTTTAGCTGCATGAATGCTAATTTTAAGAGTTTCTGGAAATAAAAAAGTACACTTATAATTTATATCTTGGGAATGGGCACTACTAATTTAATCCATCACATTTTAATTCATACCAAAAGGTGTTCCTATGTTATAAGCACGTCCTACTATAGTTAACAGAGAAAAAAAAATGTAGTAATATATACCTTTTATCTGAACAGTGTGGAAAAAGTATAACCAATGTTAAAATATTATATACACCTTTATTACCTGCACTTTTGATGTCACCTGCTTAGCACGACAGGACACAGGATCTCTATCTGTCTGTGTGTATAGGAGTATCACTTCTACATTGAAGCCTAGAAATATTGAAATATATTTCATCACAGCCATTTTTACTACAACCAAAATTGGAATGACAATTTTTTTCAGTATTTTACCAAGTTATGTCTTTTAATGAAGTTTCACATCAATATGAAATCAGAGACTTAAAGGCTTTCTTTAGATAGTGTAACTAAGTTGTTCTTTCCAGACAGGTGGACAGACAGAGAGACAATTGAAAATGTCATCCCTTCATGTTTGCAGTGATTGACAGCCAACTTTATAAACAAAACTTATCTAGGTCTTTGAAGCCTTGACTGTGATTTGACTGAGAGATGATAATTTGATTGACTTTTACTTTCATTTGTTTCCAGCATATCATGAGAAACTGAAGGAGGCAGGAGTAAAGTCACAGATATTTACTGTTAAAGGAGTCACACATGGATTCTTCCACCTACCAGGTACACATAATAAAGTACATGTATCATTAAGGTCAAGATCTAGTAAATGAAAGATGCCTACAGATTTATCGAATTCGAGAAATAAATTCCTTTAATGATGCTTTTCAACTTTAGCTTTGACAAATAAGGTGTTTCAGGGCATAATTTGTAGGTAAGCAAGATGAAAAACCATATTTTAAAATGGTGTTTTCAATGAAAAATTCAGAAAATCAGTCATGAATATGAGAGTTTTTTTTCCACTTTCAACAAAGGAAATGTATCTAGGTTGCCAGTACAGTCTCTCAGAAAACGGTAATTTGTATGTTCATCGCTTCTTCTTTAAAATAATGTCAAATTTAATATATAGGTATTGGGATTACTTTTCTTTGGATTTCAAATTGAATGCCATGAAAATACCTTATTTTCTACATAATTCCGCTAAAGCTGTAAAGCACGGGAAAAGGAAAGTTGAAATTGATTATGACGTCATAATGGATCTAGAATAAAAAAAATCTGTGTAAAGTCATTTACTAGATCTTGACCTTAATCCAATATATAAGTTTTTTTGAGTTTTTTAAATATTAAACAAAGCATTATAGGACTTTGAGAATTTTTGTCCTCTTTATTTTCCTTGACACTTTGTACAATCTAATTAAAATTAGATGTTGGATCCGCTCGCATACTCGATATATTTACATATAACATCCCATAGAGGGTCATATCAGAGGTAAAATTCTAGCAACCAATCAGATCATTGCATGCAAAATCATTGTATATTTATTGAAAAGAAAAAGTCTAGAGTTGTTCCGAATTTGACCTCTGATGTGACCCTCTATGGGATATTGATAGTGTACCAAGTATGCAAGCAGATCTAACATCTAATTTTTATTAGACTGCACTTTGTATGTTTGTACATTGATCAGTTCATGAAAGGGATTATAAGATTTTTCTAGATTTGGATGACAGAACTCTCTATGACTAAGATAATATCTTTAGAAACAATGTACCATTTATTTAGGACATCTAGATACAATTTAATTTTGTGCTTTTTCAAATATTTTCAGGTCATTTTGAAGAGTGTTGTCGCAGAGCCCATGAAAAAGTTTGCAAGTTCATCAAAGCTCATTCATGAAGTTTAGATGCCTACAGTTTAGAGTGCTTCTTGGTGCAATGTAACTTTTATTAGCAGTGACAGAGGCTAGATTTAGAACAATTTATTCAGATTTTAGAAATAAACTTATACTCAGATTAATATCTCGACTTTAGCCTAGATTACGTTATGCCTAATACAATTAGTGTATATTTACTTTGAACTATTTTGATAAACATATAACATAGTGTAAAATAGCTTTGATAAGAGTTTACTAACCAGTGATATTTGTGTATGTATTATATGAATCTAATATATCTGTTGTGTATATATGGTTTGTATATATTTCAATTAGAAAATTATATCTGAATTTATTTTGCATAAATGTATTGAATTTTTCTCAATTCTGTCTCCGATCTTTAAGTAAATAAGTGTCACATTTTGCCATGGGCATGATATACTCAATCTTAGATGCTTTTAATCGTAAGCTACCGGTATTTCTGCTTCAAAAAAAAAGAAATCAATGTTTTTCTTGGTTGTTTTTTTCTTTTGTGGTTTAATATTTCTATTGAAATTTTTTTGGTGTGGTTTTCTTCACAAGAGTTTTTGTTTTGGCTTGTATTTTTTGGAGTATCTTTAAAGACAATCTTTTTTTATGGAATACAATGGCTCAATGATTTATTTATACATTTTACAGGAGTAAAATATTGTTTTGCTGTTTAAAATGATTGTAGTTTTTTTAATTTATATTTTATATCTAGAAGTATTGTTTTGCTTGGACCAATGGCTTAGAAAAGCAGCTATCTTTCAGTGTTCTTGAGGTTTAATACAGTTTAGTCACGTATGTATGCAATAAAACACACACATGCAATTTTATTCTAATGCATTTAGGTTTTTTTTTAAGTTAACTAAGAAAAGGGTCATGTAGCAGCTGGGGTTCATGATCTTTTGGAAAACAGAATTTTTTCTAAAGTATTTGTTAATTTCTTTTTAATTTTAGATAAATATACAATGTACATGCAATAAAAAATTTTCAGATTTTGTGTGTTTGTCTTCCATAAGCTTTAATGATTCTATAATGTACTAGTCACATGATGTTGTTTTTTCTTATTTTACATTTTTGAATGAATTATGGAGCTTGTTCACTATATCTGTGCCATTTTTTGTTACAAATTTTTTAAAAAAGGTTTGAGCAATATTTTTCTTATGATTTAAGCATTCGTATGGATTTTATGTAGAATTTTTGGAACCACGTTCTCCACATATATGTGTATGTGTTTTTAATTGTAATTTTAACAAATGTTTAAGGTCTCCACTTTGATGCTCTTTATGTTCTGTAAAGTTTTACTGCAGATAAACTGTTGTTTAATTGTTAAAAGGTGTTTTAATGAATGTTTATTTTATAAAGTAAACCCTTGCTATTTTTTCATCGCATTTAATATGCTTCTTTTTAAAAGTTAAATGTTTTGTAATACATCTTTGCCATTTTACTGTTAGAATTAATTAAATCTCAACCACACATTCAGAATTGGAAAACCATATAATTTACTGTCAGCTATTGTATATATTATGCTTGAATGACAGTACAATGTAATATTAAGAAGATCGCTGCATTTCATTTTTTGTTTTCATTTCCGACATTTTTTGTTTTCATTTCCGACATAATTTTCTTTTCATTTCCGGAATTTACCTGTGCGGCAATTCAATGTTTTCTAAGTAAAAAGAAAAAGTATTTATACCAAAATATTAATTTAAAAAAAAACATCTATATATATATGCATACATGTAGCACTTAGTCTAGGTGAAAGTGTTCAATGAGCATAAAACTTTTTCACCACATTTAATGTGCACTAAATTAAATGTCAGTGACAGCACCATACTTATGTCCAAGTCACTGATAGATTCACAAAATTGGATTTCAATGATTTCTTTATGATTTAATCCTTTAAATTTTTCATAAGTAAAGTTATCAAATCTGTTAATATAGGTACTACATATGTATTTGATAAATGTCTGAAATGAAAACAAAAAAATGTCGGAAATGAAAAGTTGATAATTACCAAAAATTCCGGAAATGAAATGCAGCCAAGAAGATAGTTTGATCAAATTAATTGGTGTTGAATAATAGATTGACAGATTAGTGCTTGTAATTACCCCTTAATTTATTTTCTGTTTGGTTGTATTCTGTGAGTTTCATTTGAATTGGTACGTCAGGATATACTTAATTGTATGCTACAGTTTTGTTGCTTTGATTTATCTTCACAACTTTATTGTCACATTTTAAGGAATGGTAATGAAAATTAAACAAAAAGTTTTGCTACAAAAAAATGATATTTCAAACTGTTGATGATGTCTTGTGGATTAAATTTCTGAAGCAAAATAATGACTTATTTGTAGTTCATCAAAGAAAGATTTTACCTTGTTAATGGATTTTTGCAAGATATTTCAATTATAAGTTAGTGGCTTGCATGGCTCTATAGTTACAGTTGATTCTTGTATTATGCTAAATGTGACCATCTAAAGCAAGGTCCTGTGTTGCAGTAGGTGCTACATGTAGAAGGAAACATCCCTCACTGCTCAATAATCCTGATTGCCGATTATAGGTCAGAATTTGAAGTCCTCCACCAGCAGGTGGTGGCGTCTCCAAATAAGTGAAACATTCCCCATAAAAAAATACATTCTATGAAGGGCTTCATATTTCTGATCTGAAAAGTGCCTTTTTATTAATTTTAAGCTCACCTGAGCCAAAGGCATGGCATAATTTTGGAGCTTAGTGATGACACTCTAGACATTCAAATTTTGTCTGGTACATTTCTTGCACATTTTGAGGCATAGGACAATCAAATTTGGTGGGGAATTTGGTAAGGATTCTTGTTTTGTGACCCCCAAAACAGTTCATCATAGCTTTATTTTGGAATTTAAGGCCATAGAGGTTCAAATTATATGGATTAAATAGTTTACATTTTGAGGCCTATAGGACCAATCAAACTTGGTCAGTTGATGCCTCATGAAGGTTTCATGTTTTGAGATTCCATAAATTCAACTTGAAGGTAATATGTTCAGAGATCCCAAAGAAGGTGTCCAAAGTTCAAGTTGAAAGTACATTATCATTTTGTAATAATTGTTCATGCCCCCCGTGGGCCCTTGATTGGTGAATAAACATAATATATGTATACAAATTCGCCGAAACTAGCAGGTTTTAAAAATTCCATATTTACTGTATATAAAATTCTATATACAGTAAATACGACATTTTTTAAAACGTGCTAATTTCGGCGAATTTTTATTTTTATTTTAATGAGGGTATTCAGGCACACATAGAAAAACACACAATACACAAAATACACCATCCTGTAACCAAGCGCCTATGCTGTTGGTAACTTTCGATTACGTTGTTTGGCAAGTTTATTTTCGAAATAATTTGAGTGAAACAAATTTTTTTCAATTTCTTGTGACTTTTGTCAAAGTTAATTTTTTTTAATCAACTGACCCCACCCCCTTCTTCTCATTTTTTTTTGGGGGGGGGGGGGGGGCTGCTCAGTAAAAGTCTGCTAGAAAATAGAAGTATCTAAGCTATGAAAATAGAAGCTTGGAAATAATCTTTAAACACGGCATTGACATCCTTAAAATTAGATAGCATGGGTTTTATTTATAATTCATGTTAATGGAGAAATCAAAAACTAAAGAAAAACATTTCTATCATCCACGACTTCAGGAAATTTTGATGAAAAATTTGAATCTTTAACTTATTATTTTAAAGACAGAGATAAATTATTTTTAATCGTGTACTATTCATTCTTGTATGCAGATCTTTTGTGACAAATAAAGTATATCTAAATATTTGTTTTGTAATGTTCATTTGGGGGGGGGGGGTATTATAGTATGACTTTTACAATTATTATAAAAGTTTACAGTTCTTGAGTCAGAGGGCACGTGACGATGACTTCATTATGACGTCACAATACTGGTTTTAGCGAAAGCCATTGATACCGACAAAGAAACAGTGAGTAGGTTCATTGCAAATATTTTAAGAATGTTACATTTTCACAGACAAATATTATGTACTGTATGTGTAATAGATTGAAACGGATATTTTTCTTATAAGTTGCAACTTATCAAATAAATATTTTTCTATTAATTTTGATAACTACAGTAGGAGCCGTAACGTCAAAGATAAGTAATGCAAAGCTGTCCGAAGATAAAAAAAAAAACAAACATATTTTAAAGTCTGACAACGATTGGCTAGACGTTATATGACAATTAACTTTAATCACATAAAAAATAACATACAAATTCAAGTTTGATTTTTTAGTACTACGAAGAATAATTTCTGAAATATTCAGATGTATTGTTACGTCAAGCTCGAGGTCTTTAGCGATGACCTATGACGTCATAATATAATTTGTTTACACGAAAGTAAAGATCAGTCTGAGTCTCTGCTGTGAATTTTTAGTCATAAACAAGAAGAGTACTTTTGTTTTCCAGGAAGCAAAATTCAAGCGAAAAATGATCAGAGAAGACTTTATAGAGAGAACTTTGACTGCGTTGGCCTGTCGGTCGGCAGGTGTACCCGAGGAAATGCTACCTGTACCTCAAGTAAGGCTAATATTGAAAAAAGTACTCACCCATCCACCCCTTGAATCACGGGCACTGGAAGTTAATGTAAATATATAGTATGTGTATGTATAAAAAAAAAAAGATTACATACACATACTACACATTTACATTAACTTCAAGTGCCCATGCCTTGAATGAAATGAATTCATTGTAAAATAAATGCCCCCAAAATATGCAGATTTTAAAGTACTATCAAGGTAAAAATATGTGTAATTGGTTAATATTTTTTATATATATTATATTAGATAAATAAATATTGCATGAATACTTTTCTGAGGAATCATCATTTTTCAATAAACCATTTCACATACTGAAAATGCATTAGTAATATATTTACTTTTATAAAAGTTTTATCAGTGTATATTTTTTTTGTCCCCCACTTACGCGAAAGCGAGGTGACATTAAATCTCATTCGTCTGTCTGTCAGTCTGTCTGTCTGTCTGTCCGTCCGTCACAAAAACTTTAACCTTGCCCATAACTTTTGATTGAGTGGACCTATGACTTTCATATTTCACATGTATATTCCTTGTGATAAGACCTTTCTTTGAGTACCACCAAATCTGACCTTTTGACCTTGACCTTGGAGTTTGACCCACTTTAACACAAAAATTTTATTTTTTTATTTTGGGCATAACTTTTGAATGGTAGATACTAGGACTTTTTTTATTTCACATGTATATTGTTTGTGGCAAGATCTTTCATTGGATATCAAGAACTTTGACCTTTTGACCTTGACCTTGGAGATTTCTGTACTTATGAAAAAAACAATAACCTTGGCCATAACTTTAAAATGATAAGGCCTAGGGCTTTCATACTTTATATATATAATCCTTGAGAGATGTCCTTTCATGGGATAACAAGAACTTTGACCTTCTGACCTTGACCTTGGAGTTTGGCCCACTTTTAAAAAAAATTAACCTTGGTCATAACTTTTATGAAGGGTTAGGGCTAGGGGTTTCAAATCTCAAATATTTAATCCTTGTGACAAAACCTTTCATTTGATATCAAGCAATTACACCCTATGACCTTGATCTTGGAGTTTGACCTACTTTTTAAAAGATTTAACCTTGGC